AAATAAGTGTATTTATAAAATTTAAAAATTTGACTTGGCTCAATCTATTGTGTTTTATTGAATAGAGTGGAAAAAACTTTTTTTTTTTTGTATTGAGGATGACAGTAGTCCATTTATTTATTCATCCATTTATTTATAATTCTTTACACAATTCTTTATATTATTTCCTTTTGCAGAGAATTAATTAAATGCGTGGAACTGTTGTGCGTGAAAATGAAATCTATGTGAATTTGCAATTCACACATGTGAAATTCAAATTAGCCAATCAGAATTTCATATCCAAACACCCACCCACCCCAAAATTTAATTATTATTATATTTAAATTTCACAACGGAACAAAAATTTTTTTTTCATGATTTATATTAAATTCTTCAATTAATCCTGATGGAGAAAAATTTAAAGGAATCGAATAAATTATTTAACTATTAAATCCACCCAATCAAGTTAAAAATCTGAATTATCACTAGTGATTGACTCATCGTGATGCTAATAATTCAACAATAAAAAGATTTTAGCATTATTTTTTTTCTTTGTTTTCTATTTTCATCACCTTTAAAACTTTACAAAAACCTGTACCTCAACCTGACTTATGTACTATGTAAAAGTCATTCTACGTACCAATATTGACCAACTTATGTGTGTTTCAATTCAAACACTAATACTAAAGTCAGCTCAAGCACATTTTTATTTTATTGTGCATTTATTATTATGCGTAGTTAGCTTCAAAGTCAAAAAACGAAAAACTCAACTCTACATATCAATATTGACATGTCTACGTGTATTTTAAACTCAGGCACTAAAGTAAGTATTTATTTATTAATAATTATTATTATGCGAAATTAACAAAAATCGAAAAAAAATACCAAGTATTAGTGATAGTTATTGTAATTGTATTGTAATGGCTTTAATTTGTAGAAAGAAAAAGTAACAAAATAATTATGGAAATTTTTCTCCATGAATAAATTTTTTTGATAGCATAAAAATTTAATTCACAAAGGTGTTAGACACTTTTCATGTTTTTATGTTGGTTTCTTTGTTTTTTACTGCAGTGTTGTAATAATTGCATAATTTTTTGCATAATATTACAGGCCCCACTGTAAACTTATATAAATAGTCTAATAATTATGTAAATTTGCATCGGGAAAAATTTCCTGATGAAGTCAGCTTCTGAATAGGAAGTTTGAGATCTTTCAAGTTTTCAGCACTGTGGTAGAAGATTGTAAGAATTAAATAAACAAAGAAATGTGAAGTAATCTATATTGCTTAACTCACTATGTGATGATGGTCCATCTTAAACTCATAATAATTTCTTTATCCTCATTTGTTAACTTTATGCTTTTATTTTTTTCTATGGTTTCTGGAGCCAAATTATTAATTGTGTTGATAATATTTTCATCATCTTTGTTATCTAAAAATACAGTGTGTCAGCAACATTTTAAAAACAATATAACAAATAAATATTTTTATCAATCTTTTTGCTTCATCAAAAAAGTATTCAACAATATTCAGTATATTTGACTCAACTAATTTTACATCTCTTTTAAAACTCTAATTGATTTCATCCAAACCTTCCTTTGAAAAAAAAGATTTTATTAATGTATCTTCAGTTAGATCAAGTACATGAGACTAAGAGAAAAAATTTCATGATTAAACACAATCACTAAACCCATAACATCTTACAAATCAGAAAACTTACTTTAAGCATCAGGGATTGTCTTTACATATCTTGCCAGTTCATTTCCAACATTAATACTGTTCCAGAGGACCATGTTCAATGAGTTGTTGGTTGATGTTCTTCTATGCGTTCTATGAAGTGATTATCATCATTATCACTGCTAATGTGGTCATTACGAACCTTGCCATTATCCCCCTTGTCCATAAAAAATTTATCAATTTTACCTACACATTCCTCTTCATGATCTTCATATTTATAAGCAAATATGTCATAATCTTCATAATTGGTGTAGTTTGCCGTTTTTTGTCAATCAATATTTATTGTTATTACATCTGAAATTTGTCACTGGAAATATATTATTCTCTAATTAACATCTAATAAAAAAATTATTTTTGGCCTGCCATATTTTATGAAAAAAATTTTTTTGATGACCAACCGTGTATATTATTTTTTTGGTGACCTGTCGTATTTATTATTAATATTAAATAAGAAAAATATATTTTGGTGATCTGCGTATTTTATCAATAATAAAGAAATTAATTCGAAAAAAAATCATGTTTTTATTATTATTGCAAGTTTGTTTATCATTTGTTTTGATTCGGAGGAAATTATCTTGCATTTATATCTTTTTTCATATTAATATTAATAATCCCCAAAAATATTAATATATTTTTTCTTATTAATAATAAATACGGCAGGTCACCAAAAAATAATATACACGGTTGGTCATCAAAAATATTATCAAATAAAAAATTTTTTTTTCCATTAATAATAATGTTAATAATAAATAATAGAAATATGGCAGGCCAAAAATATTAGCATTGATATCCGCAAAAAATATCCGCAATCGCCAAATCGATTTCTAAATAAGGATAACACGCACCCAACCCACCAATAAAATTGGATATTCTCATGATCTGCATATTTTTGCGGAAAAATACATGATTATGCATTGATGTTAATTAAAGAATAATAATAATATATTTTCGGTGACAAATTTCAGATGTGATATAATGTTCTCATTCGTATCTCTAACCCCATAATCGAATATTCGTAATTTTATGGAAATGATATTCGATTCTTATTCGAATATCCGTAACACTTTCGAATACTTTCAAATATGCCTTGGCAAACTTTGAAAGTGCATTAATATGATAGCATTCATGATAATAATTGAATATGAACCCTTGACATGAATAAAACAAAGTTGGATTCTAAACTTGTGGGGAAATGTGTTTTGTCAGTGAAGTTAATTATCTGATGAAAAAAAAGCAAGTTTCGAAGCTTTAAAAGCTAGAGTGGAGTTTGGTAACAACAATGAAAAGGCTTTACTAGAAAATGGACCAAACGAGCTTGGAGAGTTAATAGGCTATGTCTTGGAGATAGGTTATAAATTGGAGTGTTGTAAATTGTGTGACTTTAAATTTCATAGTAAAAATTGACGCTTCATTTAAATCTTGAGTATCCAAATTTGGCAGGAGTCTTGATATTAAAGAACATAAAGTTGTTGAAAACAAGCTTTGCCACCAACCAATATGTGTCTGGTTGCTGTTGCACAATTCCGTCTGTTGATCTGAATATGATCATGCATACCGGAATATTTATTATTATTTATTATTATTATAACAAAAATTCAATGTGCGGGTGTAATGTCGTCATACATATATAGTAATTTTTCGCAGATAATTTCTAAATTTGTAGAAATCTGTATTAGTTACACATTGAAATTTTATAAATCAAAAAATTTCATATTTCTTTTCAAGGAAAGCATCTTCTCGAATAAAGATGATTTAAAGAAGTTCTTTTTGCAGCCATCAAATTTCTGCATCAGAAAACACACGTTCACTTGAAGTTGAGACAACAGGATTTTTTTTAAAGATCATTTAAATTATTATAACCAAGGAGAATGAATGAATTGATTAAACATAGCTAATTTATAATAGAGATATATCAATAGATCACACAAAAGGGATGTAATTTTCTAGTGAATCTAAATTAGGAAAATTGGATTTTGATGTTGAAGCAATTCATTTTTAAAAAAATTGTGATTTTCAAAGAGGTGCACATTTCAATGAGACTTCCATAATAGTTAAAAACTTGATTTTCAAAAATGTAAATACAACAAAAGGATTTCTTGATCTCGGAATAAACATTTTTCTTGTTAATCCTAATCAAGCAATAAAACAATAAAGTATTTAATTTACTTGATTTATATTGTTTATTTTTTCTTATCTATTATTAATCAATTAGAAAATTTGATATTTAAACACTTTATTTTTTCTTTCCCGAACTTTTGTTTTTAATTGCATTTAAAATAATTATTATTATTAAGCAACAAATAATGAATTGTTCAAATTTTTATCAAGAAAATATGGGAGCCATTTTAATTAAAAAAATAAAATGGTAAATAATAAAATTGAGAAAAGCTTAAAATTTCAAAATACAGTAAATTAAATAAATTAATTTAAATTTTCTTCAATAAAAAATAAACAAATAAAGCCGTTTAATGAATGACAAATCAGGAAAGAACCTTTCGAAACTTAAAAAACTTAAAACAGCTCTTAACATGAATGAACCAAAATTGCAGATGGAATTTCAGTACAATGATGAACGCCAATACACCACTCCTCGTAAAGTGTAATCATCACATTATTATTATTTATTTATATTTTGTGAATTGTATGGTCTATTATTTACTTTTTTTGTTTTGTTTCATTATTTATTTTCTACAAGTGTTTTAGCCTCGGATAAATTAAGCAAGAGTGCATCTTGGAACGAGAATATTTTATTAAACATAAAAAGATCGGATGCTGACAAAGAGGCGAACCTGATTATTAAATGTTGGGACAATAGAACAACGGGGCCAGAAGGGGTTTTAATGGAGATGAAGAAGAGTATTTATGAAATGAGGAATTATCAACGAACCGAAAACAGCAGAGTCAAGATTTGTTTAAATGAAATGGAATTAACATTTAAAATTTACTTTATAGTAAATCAGCCGCCCAAGAACATATCTTATAAAGAAAAAGAAAGGAATGGGATGATTTTAATAACCCGTTTAAAATATAAGGATTTGTGCGGGATGTCTGGTCCTTTAGAATTTAAGTTAGATCAAGACAAACATTCAACCAAGGATTACTGGAAAACCTCACAATCAGAATTCAAATGGCCAGTATCCCTATTTTTACTTGACAAGATCAGTGAACTGACTATTCATTGTGTGCTTTCAAGTAATCAGGGATGCCCAACAACTAAAATAAAAATTGGCCCATCTAATAATAAATCCGAGAACCGGATTTGGGAAAATTTAATAAAATCTGGTTATTCTAATGGTAATTAATAATGATAATTAATTATATATTTATTATACATGTTTTATTTATTGATTGATTTAATTATTTCTTTTATAGTTGGGCCGATTCCACTAATGGAAAGAGGAATGGATTATTCAAATGTAGAGTTTTTATTAACACTGCATACTATTACTCCAATAAGTGAATTATCATCTCCAAACCTTACTCGTAGGAATATTCACTCGACAGCCAACATTGAAATATTTGAAACTCCTCTTGATCCTTCTTATTCAATTCCATCATCGCCTACAACATCATTAATAACACCAAATCTAATAAATATTGGCAATAACTTACCGTATTATTATTATTATGATTGTGGTGGAAACAATCACAATCAAAGCAGAAAAGGCAGTGGTAATAGTAATAATACTTACGAATCTTCGATTTCACCACGCAATTCAGATGATTATTATGACCGTTATTCAAAATCATCCTCATCATCGATATCATCATATAGCGGCAATAGGCAAAAATCCAGATGATAGGTTCACTATAGCGAGCTTTGTCTATAACTATCGATTCCCAAATTTTTGTTCTCTGTAATGAATTTTCACTGTAACGAAAATCACATAGTGAACGTATTATAAATTTAACGTAAAGTTCACTGTAACGAGAGTTTTTGTAAAAAATTTTATATATTAATATATTGTAATAATAATAATAATAATAATAATAATAATAAAATAATCCATTTTCAAAGAATATTATTAATCTTCTTTTTTGAGAATTGCAATCCTTTTGAATTCAATATGTCTCCTAGATTGGAAGACAAAGCTTGTTGCACCCATAAATATAAAGCAAGCTTCGACCCTCAGGAAATTTCCTCCTCTCAAAGGTTTCTATTTTCAGGTAGCCTTTTTTTCTTATCTTTCAATACATTTGAAACTAATGGTTTAGATACTCCAATTTTATAAAAGATTAATTGTTAACGTTTAAAAATATTCAATGTTAGCCAAGAAAAATATTTTATTTATATTATGATCATAATCATGTGACGTGTACTGTGCCAACAAAACATGGGTCTGGGTTCCCAGGCTTAAAATTTAATTAGTATTAGGACCCATTGAGCAAAAATAGATCATTTTGTGATTTTTCTCACAGTCCCATAATCATAAATAGAGAGAACCATTATATCTCTTCTATTACCACAAATCTTGTTTGTTAAATGAACTTTAATTGAAATCTTTCTTGATGAATGGCAACTAGTAATGGTACAATAATGGTAATGATAACACTCCTTCTGGTTTACATGTAGTTCCAACTCCGAAAAATGAAAAAATGAAATAAACAGAGGTGGACACAAGGATAACTTCATTTGGAGCTATCTTGAGGATCATGATGATTATAGAGTCTGTTCTGGAATGTATCTTCTGAACATCATAATCAATAAAAAAATAATTCGGCTAATAATTGCATCTCCCGTTTATGGTACTCTTCAACCAAATGAGAAGGAAAAGGTAAAATATATAATCAAATTTCGTCAATTAAATATTTATTATCTACAATGCATACAATATATACAGTGCACTTAGTTATTGAAATATTTATGATTATTTTCAATATTTTTAGTCATTCAATACATTTTATGGTTATTTGAAACATTTATGACTGTTCGAAATTCCGTCCATTACTATTACTATTACTATTACTATCACCATTATCAAAAGTCATCTGATGTGTTTCGGATATTCAGGATGTTGGAATATTCAAAAGAGGAATTCACGCCATTGTCATTACTTCCAAAATTAGCTTATCATTTTTTGTGACAGATGCGCAGCAAAATTCAGCATAGTAAACTATGTGTTGATGTTACAAAAATTATTATCATAATACTGCTAATTGTCAACCTTTACAATTGAATAAAATTAATCTCAAAAATGATTCTATATAAAAAAATTAAAAGGGCTGTATGTGATATTTAAGACTTTACTATAGAGAAAATGCAGATTTGGATAAAATTACCAACAATATTGTTAATTGTTAGCCTAGTTGTATTATACTTTTTAATGATATCCTTTTATATATGAATTAAGAATCATGTTTTTCAAGTATATAACGTTTAACATGTGATTTGATTATGGAACCCTTGCTTTTACGAATGATTATTTAAATGACAAATTTATTGGAATGTTAAATGCGATTATAAAAAAAACTCAAACTATATTTCTGATATTTTCCTTACAAAATAATGGATAAAGGTATTTTTTTCTTACAAGAAAATAATTAACTTTAGAACACAAAATAATTTTTATTAAAACATCATCTAATTAAATACTTTTATTTTACTAGGAAGTAAGTATATAATATAAACCAATTTTCGCAATACAAAATAATTTTTATTAACATCATCTAATCAAATTCATAATAACCAGCTCGTAAGTATCGTATCATCAATTAACTTTTACAACACCAAATAATTTTCATTAGAATTAAATAATTTTCTTTTTCTTTTCTCTCTTTATAATAACCAGCTAGTAAGTATTATACTATAAATTAACTTTTACAATATTAAACAATTTTATTAAAACATCATCTAATCAAACAAATCCATTTTTTATTGCTTTATCATAACCAGTTTGTAAGTATTATGCTATAAATCAACTTTTACAACATAAAGTAATTTTTATTAAAACATCATCTAATTAAATTATTATTTTTATAATAACCAGATGGTAAGTATTATACTATAAACTAACTTTTGCAACACCAATAATTTTTATTAAACGTTTAAATATTTTTTCTTTCTTTACAATGATCAGGATGTGAGTATTATACTATAAATTAACTTTTACAACACAAAATAATTTTATTAAAATATCATTTAATTAAAAAAAAATTTCTCCTTTATAATAACCAGGGGGTAAATATTATACTATAGATTAGCTTTTATAACACAAATTAATTTTTGTTAAAACATCATTTAATTAAATAATTTTATTTTTCTTTACAATAACCAGGATGTGAGTATTATACTATAAATTTAACCTTTATGACACCAAATAATTTTTATTAAAACATCATCTAATTTAAATACTTTTCTTTTTTCTTTTTTTATAATGATCAGGGGGTAAGTATTATACTATAGATTAACTTTTACAACACCAAATAATTTTTGTTAAAACATCATCTAATTAAATATTTTATTTTTTTATTCTTTATAATAACCAGGGGGTAAGTATTATACTATAAGTTAACTTTTACAAAACAAAATAATTTTAACATCATCTAATTAAATATATATTTTTATAATAACCAGATGGTAAGTATTATACCATGAATTAACTTTACAACACCAAATAATTTTTATTAAAACATCATCTAATAAAATAAATTTCTTTTTATAACCAGGGGGTAAGTGTTATACTATCAATTAACTTTACAACTATACATGAAGTCGAAACTATTTCGACCATTTGCAGATCTGGTCAAAATAGGGTTGAAATAAGGTCGAAACTGATTTTTACTATGTAGTTGCCTCAAGTTGAAACATTTCAACTTTGGGGTTTTAATTTCAACTTCATGTATATTTACACCAAATAATTTTGTTAAAACATCATCTAATTAAAATTTTTTATTCGTTCTTTCTTTATAATAACCAGATGGTAAGTATTATACTATAAATTAACTTTTACAACGCAAAATAATCTTTATTAAAAACATCAGCTAATTAAATTTTTTCTTTCTTCTTTTTTTCCAGATGGTAAATATCATATTATTATATTATAAATGGGGCATGCTGCAACAAAACCAGACAAAGTGAACATTGGTATTACCAAGAATTTCAGGGACCAAAGTTTAGTCATCTTTAATGCAATTATAATTAACAGTTTTATAATGACCCATTTTATATTTTGGTTGATATAGAACTGACCCCTGTATAAAAATAGTTGATATGAAACTCATTTACATTAGGTCTACCATGGAACCCAAGAATTATAGTACTATCAGAAGTATTTTGAAGAAAGAACAAGGTGAAAAAATTGCTCCTTATGTTTTCAAAATAAATGATACTCAAACACTTGAAGCTTATCTAAGAAAAGAAAGAATTACCTATGAGATTTACCAAGAAGAAAGAAAAATAATAAATGTTGGAAAAAGAAAGCACCATGAAAGTTTGCTATTACCTAACAAAAAACAGAAACCTTTAGAAGGAGAATAATTTTATTATTACAATTTTTTTTTTACTGACTATTACTACAAAGAAAATTCTCCTTTATGCAAATGTAATTAATAATCATCATATTGCATTGTTCATCAATAAAAAAACATTATTTGAGTTTTGAACAAATTCTACTACATTCAAGGATATGTTTTATAAGTCTTTGTTTTTCTCTCATTGACATTGGAACAAGGTAAATAATCTCGCCTTGTATTGGAACATTATAAAAACATTACCAATTCACTTAATTTTCAGGTAAAAAAATTCAAATAACAAATCCTTTAATAATCACCATTAAACACAATTTTATTTTGGTTTAAAAATAATCAAATAAATCAATAAATATTTACACAGTATTTTCGTTTATAATAACATTTTAAAAAAATGCTTACATTCAATAATGAATTTTTTTGCAGGTTGTTAATTGGACTCTTGCTTGGTTTCTTATTTCATATAAAACTTGCAAAAATCAGTTCTTTATTATAAATCAAAAAATTGATCAAATAATTGATAGAATAAAACCAAGAAAGAGACATAAAACAAACAAACCTACTAGTGATAAAAAACATCCACATGAAATCGAAAATCTATGGAAGGATTTCAAAAAGTTATTTGATAAAAGAATTGAATTAGATTTCCAATTTATCATTTAACAAAATGGACATTGAAATTCATAAATTATTTGGAGATAAAGGAGTTGCCACCCCTACTATTAAAAATTTCTATCAACGAAAAACAAATCTTAGGAGGAAGACAATAGAAACAATTCAACAGTGGGTCAATAAGGAAAAGAAAGAGGTGGAAAATGAAGCTGAAGAAGATAATGAAAATGGAGAAAATACAAATATTAATAATAACATTATTGTAATAATAAAAATAGTAGTAATAGTGAAAGTTGAATTTTTGTCAGAGTGTCCAAAGAATAGGTAATACTTACAAATGGCTTTGGGTCCAAGTATTTTCCTCCAATGCAAGTGCTCTGACAATTCTTTAACTTATATTTTTATAAATTATTTATGTATTTATTTCTAAATTAAAATAAAAATCATTTTCTTTTATCGTTAATTCATTTGTCTGTAAAAAAAAATTGCAAGTCATGTGCTCACTAATTTATCATTGGTCCAAATTATTTATAGAAACAATTAAATTCATTTTTAAAATTTTTTTTTAATCACAAGAAAATGTCAACGATCGAAGAGAAATCAAAAATGGCAGAAGAAGAGTACAGGGAGGCGAAAGCAAACCTTGAGAGGTGTAAAGATAAGTTAAATGACTTGGAGGTGGAATTAATGGAAGGGAAATGGAGTGGTGAAGAAAAGACAAGGAGGGAGTATAGAAGAGATGAATTAAAGAAAGAAAAAGAGGAGCTGAAAGAAAAGGAGAAGTTTTGGAGAGGAGAGATCAGTAAGTGGAGTGGGAAGTTATGTGAAGTCAAAGGAAAAGGTAACAGTAATGATAAAAAAAATATACAAAAATTATTTTCTGTTCATTTCATTTTGTTTATTTATTTGTTTGTTTGAGTGACCATTTGGTATACTATATACAACTTTAATTAACTTATTTCTCTTTATTCCATCTTCTAATTATTACCCACTTTGTCCTGAATTAACTCTGAATTACCTTGTTAGATATTACAACAAACAAAAGTATGTGCTTGAAATTTTAGAGTTATATCTATCTACTTGTTTTTATATATTCAATTTGTTTTTTTTTATTCACAATCAATTATGTTCTTGTAGCTCCTGAGAGGATTATTGAATTTTGGCAAGCAATTCGAGATGCAGAAATCTTTTTTCCTCTACCACCAAATTGGAATGAAAATGATTTGGCCTTGGGACCATTTTTTCAATTTATGACTATCAAGGATAATTATGTCATTTTAAACAAAAATATAATGATAAATTCAAATGGCCAATTGATTTATAATAATGGGAAACAAGTAATGAACCAAGACACAAATGAACCTCTTCAATCACTCCCTTTTAATTCTACCTTAAAAGTTGCAGAGACAATAAATATGGAGGAAAACATGGAGGAAGAGGAGCTTCCAGATAATTGGGGAGGAATGCTCCATTTGCCAAAGTCCACATTTTGCATTGTCTCAAATAACATATCAATGATTTTAATACGAAAATCATATTTGCAAATGATTGAACAACTTGAAAAGGATGCCAAAAATGGTTGTGCAATAGTAGGCACACCTGGCATAGGCAAGACTTTCTTTGGTCTATATTTTCTTTTCTATATTACTCACCGTTACCCTGATTCTAAAATTATTTGGGAAACTATTAACAGCATGTGGTATGTGTTTTTTCCAGATTTACATGTGGAAAGTGGAATTCAGAGAATAGGTTCTTGTTTTTATGACACATTATTTGATGAGAAGGCTTTCTATCTTGTTGACTCAATAGTTCCCATGAATAATGTTATTGCATATACACTTTTATTCTCATCACCAAGGCAGGAAAGATGGAATGAATTCATTAAACAAGAAGATGTCACTCTTTATTATTCACCAATTTGGACACCAGATGAAATCTGGATACTATGGAGAGAACAATGGAAAGAGAAAATGACAGCTGATCGTGTTCAGGAATTGATGGACCGGTGGGGTCCAATACCACGAACAATTTTTGATAAAAGAGATAATGAACCAAACTTTGAGGAGTTGACTTCTAGATGTAACATAAAATCCCTTGTGGAAAATTTGACATTTAAAAATATGCGCTTGCAATATGATGATTTTAATGGTAGAATAATTCATATCCATCCATTAAAAACAAATTTTAAAGAAAAAATTTTGAAGTTTGCTTCTGACAAAATAGCTAAAGAGCTATATCACAAACATGCATTTAACAGCAGGATAGAAATTATTCATCTAATTGAAGCTGGTGCCTTTTTTTCAGATGCTAGTTTAATACGTGGCAAGTGGTTTGAAGAATTGGCCCATGAACAATTACAAAAAGGTGGTCAGTTTTTTGTGCGATGCTTAGAGGATGAATCAAAGTCCTTAAAGACAATGCTTTTGACATTAAGTGTTGATGAATTAAAGGCAGAATTAAATGGTCTTAAATTGTCAAAGAATGGTAAAAAAGAAGATTTGGTGAATCGATTGATAGATTATTATCAGAAAAATGATGGGAAAGATGATGATAGATTGAAAAATCAGATTGAGCTAAAATACTTAAAAGAGAATGTATTCAGAAATTTGGAAGAGATAAAATCAGAATTTTACAATAGACCACATAAAAAGAATCAGGAATTGGTGGATTCTCTGGTGCCTCATGAACATGAACCTGATCATATATATCAGATAACAGTGGGAAAGAACCAACCAATTAAGGTTAGACAGAGAATGACAACAGAACTTTGATCTTTTTTATTGTGACTAATTTGTATATATCATATTAGGTTAATGGTCTTAAAGAGTTACATGAATATCTACATACAGATCGTAAGATTTATTTGTATTTTGTTGTTCCAAAAGATAAATTTGAAGACTTTTCTTATCAAAAATATGTGACAACCACTGGAAGAGAGTTTAATGGGTGGAATAAATCAAATGATTGGATTTTGAAAAAAGTTGTTCAATATGTTCTCAGAATGGGTTTAAAAGTTGAAGTTTCAAAACGTAAAATTGAGGAGGAAGATAACATAGTAGGAGATGATAATAAACATTTTAAAAAAACATGAATTTGTAAAAAAAAGAAATGTAAAATTGCTATCAAATTTAGTATTTTAAATTACTTTAATAACAGTATGCATTCTTTTATATATTTTTTAAGTTTTTCATAATAAAAATATGTGATTTTTTCTGAACCAATTTTACAATTCAAATAATTTATAATTATAAAATTTCTAACACACCAGCACCATCATTACCTCCTTTTTTGAGATGTGCTACATGTCACTTTTTTTTCTCTTCAAAAAATTGTTTGATTGGTATGAACAGTTTTCCAACAACTATAATTTTACTTCTTTTTTTTATTTTTTTTAATATCCAACTAAAATATAGAAAAATACATAATTATTTAAAGATAGAAACTATTTTCATTAAATCATTATTAATGAAAATAAAATGTTGCCTTTTTAAATATTTTGTTCTTTGATTGGTCTCTCTCCATCTCTCTTTCTCTCATCCAAATTTTAAAAAACATACAAAGTGAACATAAAATTATATATATAGGGATAAGTGTATATGAAAAGTAATAATAAGTATAATGGTTCTAATGAATATAAAAAGGGAATCAACTTTTTAGAAAAAGGATGTGATTGTGATTGCTCTTCCAGAATTCCCAAGGAACAATTTGCTGAATTAAGGGGATCCTTTCAAGCTCTTTCCAGAACAGAGCAAGACATGTTTTTGATGGCTCAGCTTAAAGCAATAGATGGAGGGACAGTAAGCACCAGTAGACAAAACCAGATCTAACAAAAAAACTTTCTATCACTGGGATCACAATACACTTCTTTGTCAAGAAACTTATCTCAATATGTTAGGAATTGGCAGGACTTATTTTGAAAATATTAGAAATCTTCTGATAAAAAATGGCCTTCTAGCAAGAGTTCATTGCAATATAAAGAAAATGCCTCAATGGAAAACCAAAATGGTGATTGATAAAAATATTATTTTAAGAAACTAAATGGTTTACAAAGGTATCAACATTTTCTTTTTGAAGCATCTAATTTTGGTACAGTGAAAGTTCAAGAAGTTGCTAATGGACCTTTTGTTGAGTTCAATTTATTGAAAACCAAGAAAGCAGATATTTTTGAAGAAATTAAATCTTTATCTATTTTAGTGTTAACACCACCTCCTTTGGATTATAAAAGGCAAGAATATCTTTATAATAATATTCACTCATTTTTAAGGGATGAATTTAAAGATATTACTTGTCCAAAACCAATATAAAATTTTATTAAAATAATATATTATGGCAGTAAAAGGAAATTCAGCACCTGAAAATAATCAAGAATTAATGCAATTAAAAAAGAAAGCTATTGATTTTTAATGAGAAAATTATACAAGTGTTTATTTGTTTTATTGGTAAAACGAAAAGTTATATTCCCATTCTTATAAATGTCATTTTTCTTTTAAATTATAAACTCTAATATATGTGTATTTATTTAAATTACAAATAACAAAAGTTCTTGGATAAAATATAACGATGTGCTTATCTTAATTGTAAATACTTTGAGGCCATTAGCAGCTACCATAAGATCAGTCAAAGGTATTAAATATTTATGCATTACTTTATTATCTACAGGGTTTATAAAATATTCGTAAGGTTTAAGTTGATCGGTGAAATTAGGGAGCATTTTCAGACAAAGGAATACTTTCATTGATTCATGGCTTCTATTACCACACATAGTAAGTATTCTATTTTTTCTTGCATTAGTATTATATAATTTTGATCTACGTCTCTTTAATTAAGAATGGTAAATCGTAATTCCGATCAAAGTATACTTCCAATAAGATATCTTTAGCAGAATATCAATAATAACAATGACAACAATAGTAATAATTTTGATGATGATAAATAAAATGAGTATTGGACAAAATGTACAAGTAATGGATATTATATATATATATATATATCGATTGGCTTATTTATATATTAACCAATGATGGTTTTTCTTTTAAATTTTGCATGGCTTAATTCAAATTTTTATATTTAAATGTTTATCATTAATTGTCTTCTTGCATAATGATATGAATTATTATTCCTTGGCGAGGGAAACCTAACCACTCTGGGATGTCCAAATTCATTGTCTTCAAATTAAGGTATCCTGCGCCTTCAAGTCCATCAACATAAAATTACAGTAAATTAATAATATAACAGAAAATGGAAATGTTCCTATGAGATGCAATTACATAATAATAATAATAATTTGAGCACGAGGAGTCGAATAAGACATATATAGTAAATACGTATTAGTTAGGAGAGAATATTATTGGTGTGCATTTTTTAGTTTGATGGTTTTGATCGAATTATATAATAATGTATAATGTAAACTACTATTTTTTATTTGCATCAATGTAACATTTAAAAATTCATGTCGTGACCGGAAGAAAGTATCCGGATAAGGTTTTTTTTTCACATAATAATAATAAGAATTACACATAATTTACAGCCTACGTGTAAAATCTTATGTTTTTAATTTTTGTGTATGATTTTAAAGATTTTTAATTAACATTGCATTGAGAAAGCACTAAAAATGGCAATCCTCAATTTTACAAAGTAAACCCTTTAAAAACTTATTGCTTATAATTTAGGTTCTCATGAGTATGAATAATCGAGTAATTTTCATGCTTTTATCATATATAGAAATTAAAAAAAAACTAATCTCGGAATTAACTGAAGCTGAGCGAGGAAAATTTTTAGGCCTGGTAGTACTCGTTCAAATAATTTTTATTGGCATTTATCTTTAATCTTATTATAATGTTTTTAGAATTAATTAACAACAAAAACCCTTGACTCACTAATTCATAATCGTCAACAATATAGATGATTCTGTTTATTTAAATGTTTTAAGGATTAAATTAATTTTTTTAAAGTGTCATTTAATGAACCAGCAGTCATTAAAAGAAAATTAATACAGAATAACAATAATAAAATTAATTGAAATTAAATTTATAAAAAACATTAGTAAAAATATTGAATAATAATATATTTATATTTATAATATTACAAGGAAAACAAAACAAAAATTGATATTAAATTGTAATTAAAATAATAATAATAATTAAAAAAAATATATTTACATTTTATTAAATTCTGAAATAAATAAATTTATATTTAAAAGATGCAAAAAAAAGTAATATTTCCCAGCAAGCCCAGGAAATCAAGCCTGTTTAACGCAATGAGGTGAAAACAGCAACAATCGTTGATATGGTGGTTATAATTATAGTAGCTATTGCGGTGAAGGAGATGGGAGAGGTGGTATCACTAAATCAGGTTTCTCTGTGTAATAAGAATGTCTTGATAAATGGGCTGGAAATGTTGGAAAATCTATTGACTTATATAATGATCTGTTATTTAATTCGGATTTAACGGATCTTCTATCAGGCACGGGAGCAATTAATAGAGAATTCGTGGTCTTGTGACGTTTAAAAGTATGAGCGGCGGTAGTGGTGTCACTCGATTGATTTATTTCAGTTGATAAATGTAATTCAGTTGTTGCTCTTCTTGGTGGTGGTTTCGGAGACATCATTTTCTGCTTTATAAGAAGATCTTCTTTAATACGTTTTTCTAAAACTTCGCTATCCAAAATTTTTTGAATAATGATTGGATTTAAGGCGTCAATCTCTCCCGATTCATCATCACTTAAAGTTTTATTTATTTTCTTTTTTTCTTTTCTACGCCGGTCTTTTTTTAATTCTCGTTCTCCTATTATACTTTTCCTTGCTGTTTGACGACGTAATGATTTCCTCTTATTGTATTTACTACCACTACTATTATCATTAACAACGTTACTTTTATCATGACTAATATTAATATTATCATTATCGTTATCATTGGTGTTATTAAGATTTTTACTGGGATAAAATTGTGGATTACCAGTTGTAACATTACCATTAAATGATAAAAACACACTTTGCTCCAATACATTCTGTCTGAATATTTGTGAAGCACGTTGTTGACGTGGTATTATAGCAGATACGCGTTTTTGTTTGCGTTTAGAGTTGACCCTTGATAACCGTTTAGATGAATTACGGTTTAATATTTTCAATTTAGCGATTCTGGTAACAAGTGGACGAGTTGATCCAACTTTTGTTGTTGTGATTTGTTCATTCTCTTTATCATTATCGTTATTATTGTTGTTGCTAACGTTGTTTTCATCTTGTTGAACAATAGATAGACGTTCTTTATGAATAGACAATGGAACAAGGCTTGCATGAATGAGTTTTGGAGGGATTTTGATTTCTGGTACCCAAGGATAGGGTTGGTGTTTTATAGGTGGTAAGTCTTCATCCATATCGGTAGGGTCGTTTGAGTGAGGAGGATTTGAAGTTGGGGCTTTAACCAATGGCAATCTTGGTCTTGATTTGGTAACTTTTCGATAAACAACATTGTTTGTCCGTTTTGTTTGTCTGGTACGTTTATTTGATTGTGTACGAACAACTTTTATTTCAGAATATTTTTTTTGTGCTTCATCGAAATCTTGAATTAACTCGCTGATCACAATGTCATTATAAATTCTTGATTTTCTTCTATCTTTCATAGTTTGAATTGATAATCTCTTTTTAACATTATTTAATTGTTTCTGCTGCAGCAGCTGTTGTTGTTCATGAAAAGAAGTGTCATCAGTATTGTCAACAATAATACTTTTGCTGTCGTTATTGTTGTTTGTTGTAAAGGTAACTTGCTGTTGTTTAATGTTTTTAGCATTGTTGTCATTATTATTGTCATTTTGTTGTAAAGGCTCGTTATTTTTTTGATTTTTCGAAACTTCTACAACTTGAATGGTTGTAACTAAAATGCCCCCAAAAGCCGTAGTACCGTTATTTCCTTCCTTTAAATTTAGACTATCTTTTGAGTTATTGTTAGAATTTTGCGATATCGATGATGATTTATCGGAAAAAGAAGAATATTTATCATATTTATCATCATCATATTCTTGAGTTGGTGAATCAGGAGGTGTATAAAATTTTGCATCCTGTGCAGAATTTCTAATTGTTTTTCTTTTATAATCTCTATTTGTGTTATTGCCATCATCGTCATCGTCATCACCATCATTCCCCCAATACAATTCATTATCGACACTCATTTCATTAATATTGTGTTGTTGTTGTTGTTGTTGTTGTTGTTGTTGTTGTTGTTGCTCGCTTGAAGATATCGTATTGATATTATTATTATTATTATTATTATTATTATTATTATTGATATCATTACGATTAATAACAATACTGTTCATATCCAAAGAATTTTGTTTGGTATTTACTGATAATTCATTCATTGTCAATGATTATTTTATATATATGTATGTGTATGTATTATTATTAATTTATAATTTTAAAAAGAAAGTATAAATATACCTTGCGATATATATTTTTTACAGCAGTTGGTGCTGTTTTGGCGTGTTATTATTATTATATGTATTATAATTGTAGCGTTAAAATTTTACCGAATTTAATTATTCAAGTAAAATTTTTAAAGTTAGACAATAAAATATTTATCTATTTTTAATCAGAAATTCATAAAAGCTATCTGAAAAAACAAGACGCCAGAAAATAAATAGGTAATAATGAATGGTTGATAAAAAATAAGGGAAGAAAAAATTTCATAAAATAAAAACAAAATATTGCCTTTACTCACGAAATTTATGTGGAAAAAAATTAAAGGAAATGTGAAAGGTGGGGGAGGGAGGGGAAAGTAAAAAGAATGATATTTTATTATAAAAGAAAATTATAAATGATTAACGTAGCATGAAAAAACATTTACCAACCCGATGACGCGTATTAAGGGAAGAGGAAGAAAGTGAGTGAAAAGAGGAAAATATGAAAAAAAGTATGAAAAAAATTAAATTTAAAGATGTTAACTTTATGTATTTACAACATTTACAACAGCAGCATTATTAATTTTATTAATTTAATTTATACTACAAATAAAAATAAAATCTGCAACAAAATTAATAAAAAATAAACAAGAATATCATTAGTTTCTATAACAGTGTAACATTTATTTTTTACTCTTACATAAAACTATTCTAAAAACCCTGAATGTAGTGTCATATATTTTATTATTATTATTTTATGACTTTATTAACATACTAATACTTTATTTTAGCACACCAATAATTTTTTTTTGCAAATGGTATTCTAAGAAATGAGTTAAGAAAAGTAAAATAAAATTATTATTAGTTACCAATTGATTATTATGCATACCAATATCTGTACTATATATGGAGGGAAGGAAGGTTCTGATTGCGGAATATATTTTGTGACCGCGTGTACGACAAAATTTGTTTTACAGTCGGGAAATATGCCAAATTACGTAGTAGTTTTTTTTTTCATTAAATATTAATATACCATACATTTTGCTTATAAACCAATTTCGGTTATAAAAAGTTGAATATAACAAAATTATGGGTGTCTAAATTCTCTTATTTTGATTTTTGTCATATTAATATATCCTAAATGAATAGTAGTTATATGGAAGAAATATTTGTCGCAAATTGGCACGTTCTAGCAAGACATTTGCAAAAAATTAATAATAATATATGAAGCAGAATCCACAGCTGCCTAAAGGTATATAATGTTTGTTTGTATCTATGAAATTTTGCCAAGTTAGGAAAAGACTATAATAATATAAAAAAGTTGTACCTGTTCATTGTTGTCCACAATTGTATAGTCAAATTAGATAGGTTATTTCTGTAGCTGGTTAATATTAATTGAAATTTGGACTAGGAAAATCAATCTGATTTTTTTTTTACTTAATATTAATTAATCTATTATACAAGGATTGCGATTGGAGAAAACATTGAGTCTTGTTTGCGTAGTAGAGGACAGGTACTCTAATTTGCCGGTTTTTTTCCGGTAAATAATTATTATTTCCGACGATCATTTTACACTTTCATACATTTCTATTTCAGAAATTTTTACAAGAAAATTTTGTGTTTCGTGTAACCAACTTTAAAAGAATTGTTATATACTAAAAATAGATTTTGTGAATGCTGATCAAACAATTATTTTATTAATAACTTTGGTTTAAATTTATCAATTCCGCACAGAAGAACAGTATAAGAGCCAATGGGAAATCATAAAAAGATATGAACCAAAGTTCACATGTTCAAAATATTTTTTTGAACTAGTTATTTAACTGACAGTCCAAAAGTTAAATAACCGTCATTATCGACAAACATTGAAATAATATAAATAGTAGTGATACGCATGTCAGAACTTTACATCCGGATCCTTGTCTTTTTAATTATTGCAATCCGGATACCCTTATTACGATTACTATCATTTTCAAAAATCTTATTAGAACATCCCATCCGTTTAAAAATTTTAATCCAAATATTCATTAAATGATATATATATGAATCCAATCGATTAAAATAATGGATCCAAAAATTCAACGTACATTTTTATAATATTGTTATCTTTTAGTATTAATACTAATACAATCTAAATTATCAGGTGGACGTTCAAATTTTTCTTATAAAGGATTCGATTAAGGGTAGTGCCGTATTTTAATTATCGAGGTTAGATCTCGGAAAAACTCTATGATTAGAAAATGCTTTATAAAAAACAAAAATGAGATTACTTCGCCATAGTAACAAATTCGTATTGATAGAAAATGAAAAAGATCGCCGCCTTTTACTATATTAATATATAAAAATGGACCGGCAGAATTTTTAGATCATTTATCATATATTTCTATTAAGGCCTATCTTTCTGTATCACAACGGTATTTTTAATGTGAAAATTTGGCAGAAGGAGACATTACAATTCATATTACACCACGAGAAGTAGTTATTTTTTTGGGGAATACGTTCTTATTCTAATATTAATACTTGTTTGATTGCAGTAGATGATGAAACATTTTAATTTATAATCATTTCAATCAAGTACACAAAACTTTCTTTTAAATATTTTTAATCGATAAAGATAATTTCATATGTCCTCGGCTATTTTGATTCGCATTATTAATAATTTTAAAAATGTCTTCGGAAAATCGATTCGCATAATTATAAAAAACTAAGAATCGCATCAATATGATTTGTCATTTAATTTGGCGGTCACATACAATAGAGTTTTCCCGGCTTTTCTACGCATGAATGTCCTTGCCCACATTTTTCATAAAACGTAATAACTTTGCCCAAACACTTGATAATTGACTCCAAGTGAAATAATTTGACCACATCTACAATTAACTTTTTTAGCATTGACAAATTCTTGAAAGTTAGGGTATGTAGTAAAATGTTTTTGGCGTGAATCACAAGGAATTTTATTATTATTTTTATTATGACTTTTCATTTTAAATTTTTTATCAGTATTATTATTTATTATTATAGTGTAATCGATAACATTTTTATCTTCGAGTAATATAAAAGCAGTGTGATATTTTCCATTTTCTCTCAATACGAATTTATGATGAGGCGGCCACGAATTTTTTTTAAAAGTACTTTCGAATCATAGTGTTGACGGTCACATTCAATAGAGTTTTCCCGGTCCTTATAAAAAAAAGTTATCTGTTACACTAGTTCGCAAATATAGTAATAGTAATAGAGGTCCTCGTGTAACGGACAATAATATATATTTTTTAATTAAATTCTTCATTCATAATTTACCAATTTATTCATTATAATAAATCATACACAAATAAACGTAGAAGAGATATTTATACATACAATATATATATATAATTAATTCTTTTTGTTTGTTTAATAAAACATTTTGTGGTCGGGAATTAAACAGTAGTAGTAGGGTTTAATTGTCCGTTTGGTTATCAGAGTGATATAGGACTCGGTGGTTTTGAGTATTTGCTTTGGTATAAATTTTCATTTCGCATAAACATTTTGTTTAACTTTTTATAAACGGGTTTAATTGTTTAAGTGTAAACGTAAGGTGATAATACCAATTGGTAAAAGTGAAACAATGTTTCATCACATGAACCCGTCTTCTTCTTCTTACCGAGCTATTGGCATTTTGAGATGGATGTGCGCTTTAATTTACATCTAGTTTGGTAAAATTCCTAGCATATTGCCATCCTTCTGAATCCATGTAAGGACGTGACATATCTATTTGCCATTCATCCACCCAAAACCATTGTTTATTCTGTGATTTTGTATAAGTAATTGTTATTGATGAAGAATTTGGCCCAACTGGTAATTTTATATTTTCTTTATATGAAGTTTCTCCACTAGGATGGAGCAACCAGACAGGGTTCACGCAAATCTGTCTTCAGAAGACTTGCTGCTGAATATTTTGGTGAACTACGAAGCGCCGATGCCATTTTGAAGCTCTTTGATTTTCGGGAAGAATAATTGATATTGATATGTGAAAAGTAAAAACATCATATGGTTGATTGATTGATCGATAGTAAAGATGACTGAATGATGTTTCTATTGCAAATGTATTATTTTCAATAGAAAAAAAAAAAAATCAAATAGTTGATTGAAAATTAGTCCAAGCATTTGTCCTCAGCTCTTCACAAATATAAGTCTCATTACTTGTTGCTGCTGCATCATAAGCAGTCTCGCCAAAATTATTTTTAATAAGAGGATTGGATTTAGCATGATTTAAAAGATATCAAGATGTTCTTTTGATGCAGCATTCATTAGTAATTTTTTTTAATACAAACCTGTGAATAAAATCATTTTAATCACAATTATATATATGGCAACAAAAATTGATTCATATTCATATTTGTTTAAAAAAAAACATTCACATTTGAAGGTGCAATATTCCTATTATTTCCAACATCTACATCTACGCTATCGGCAGATTCCACCAAATACTTCACTATACACAAATGTCCTTGTGCAGATGCATTATGTAATGATGTCCATCCATCATTATCTTTTTTGTGATAAAGATACATTTCTTTGCAAGAGATGATTGACAACTTATATATGTCCATTTATATGATGCTTTTAATAATTCAGTCTATAAAATTATATATAACATGTACATGTAAGCATACACATATAAATGAATAAAATAAATGAAATAAAATGAATAGATAGATTTGTTATATTTTTATCTTTATATTTTATCTTACCTCACCAATTTGATCTTCTAAATCAACAATTGCACTTGTGCTTTCTACAAACTACCCAACAATATCCAAATGACCACGTGAAGCTGCGTAATGAAGTGTATTAAATCTGAAGAAAGGTATGCAACGTTGGCGCGTGCGGAATCTGTCACTTTTCCACCAGATCCTTTTGGTGCCAAAATCTCTTTAACTTTTGCTAAATAACCCAGGGAAGTTGCCTCATAAATATTCATATGCTCTGAATCCCTGAGGTAGCGATAAGCATTGTTTATGAAGTTTGGATGAAGCTTTATTTATTTGAAATGTATTTTTCCATAGTTTCTCCTGGGAGATGTGATAAACAAATTCTTGGAATTTTTGCTACAGTTGGAGATGAAAAAGACCCCGGAAATCACATAGATAGGTTACCCGAAAATTTTCATGAGTCTACTCAAAGGTTTTAATAATGAATTTACTCAAGCATTTTAATCTTCTATGTATAATGATTTTATCCAACATTAAATTTTTTTATTTTGAATCTTGCTTACACTACATTGGCTGTATTCACAAGTTTAACTTTGGATTAGATTGGATAATCCTAGATCAGGCCAAATTTTTATTTAAAAATATTTTTTTGCTTTTAACAATCAATCGGGAACTTAAAAACGTTTATAACTTTGGAAGCAAAATAGCTACAAAGAAAATTGAAAATGATTTTGATTAATAAGGACCTTGACTATAACGTAAAAATGCTATTTTTTTTTGCTTAATATGATTTTTTTCAAATTTATATGTATTAACAGTTATTTAGAATTTATGACAAAACAACATGAAAATACATCAATGTTAATAATTATTTTCAAAATATGGCTCTGTTAAATTGTAAAGACATGTTCTGCAAGCTCAAACCATTTTTCAGAATTAAAAATTATCATCTGTATGATGTGTTATAACAGTTTTCATGGAAAGCGATTTTCTTTAATTAAATAAATAATGGATTTTAACTAAAACGTTTATAACTTTGGAAGCAAAATAGCAACAAAAAAAATTGAAAAGTGTTTTTAATCTTTAAGAACCTTATCTACAATGTAACAACACTATTTTTTTGGTTTTTTTAAATTTTGCAATAGTAAACATCTAGAATTTATGGCGTTCGAATTGTCTAGTGCCTGAATCTGAAACACACATAGACAGTCAATATTGGTATGTTAACTTGATATTCTTTTCGATTTTTGATTTTGAAGTTAACTACATGTCACATGGACTAGTTAATATTGGTAAATACATAGAACAACCTTTACATAGTACATACAGTCAACCCTCCATAAATGCATCCCCCCTTGGGAATGGTCAAGAGGGTAAGAATCTTATTGGCTGCACGTGACATTCGGGATATTGTGTTAAAAAAATTTATTATTATAAAAATTGATCTATTGTAGTTTGTTTCATTGAATTTATTTTTTTAAATTAATATATCAATCAAGAGCATTAACTTGTTTTAATTGTTCTTTAGTATTCCTTGTTATAGTAAAAAGGCATAGACAATTTCCAAACTTTTGGAAGCTTCATCAGCACTCATTATTACCAGTTCAATGCTATCATCATCTTCATTATTGTAATTAATAATGTTAGAAGATTTTTTATTTATTAAAACCTGTGTAAATGGATTTGTTTTTAAAACTCTTCATTCTTGTCTTGCCTTCTTTATGTATAATCATTTCGCCTATAAAATTTTCACCATCTGGATTCTTATTCTGTCAATTAAAAACGAAAGAATTAGTAAACATTCATTTAATTCTTTATTTAAAAAAAAAACTTTATCCTCTGTTTGATTCTTAATGATTTTGCCTGTAAGTTTCACTATCTGGTAACCCTTTGTCAATTAAAAAAGAAAGAATTAGTATACATTCATTTAATTCTTTATTTAAAAAAATATCTTTATCCTCTGTTTAATTCTTAACGATTTTGCCTATAAGTTTCACTATTTGATACCCTTTGTAAAATAAAAAGAAGAATTAGTATACATTCATTTAATTCTTTATAATTTAATTGACTCTTTATTAAAAAAAAGCATATAACGCTTTATTCTCCGTGTGATTCTTAACGATTCTGCCTATAAGTTTTATTATCTGCATAATAACTCTTTGTTGATTAAAAAGAAAAGAATTAGTAAATTACGCATATAGATGAAAAATTAATTAATGTAACACAATAAATTTTGTTTCTTGTTACACATTGATCACATGAAAGTCACGGACGTGCATTTAGAGAGGGTGGTTTTATATAAATGGGATTGGTAAAAGATCGTGCAGTGCATTTACGAAGGGATGCATTTATCTCTTAAGTCCTAAGTTTGGGAATGAGACATAGCATGCACTTATGAAGAGTTGACTGTAGGTACAGGTTTTAATAATGATAAAAATCCTTTTATTGTTAAATCGGTTGGGAGAGATTCAGTATGATATAGCTTTTGCAAAACGTATTCTAAATCCTTTTTGGGGTGTGGAGGAAGCATGTTAGATTTGGTATTTTATAAGTGCAATAAAATGGTTGTATACCATACCATACGTTCTGCAAGTGTTATATCATATACTCTTGTTGAATTAATAGCATCACAGTAAATCACTAGAGTTTGGTGATGATAAGAAATTTTTTTTTTAATGTTGGAACAATTCTTTAAATAGTGCAATTCTTATTTTTCTATTTTTCAAGATTTATATTAAATTACAGTATTTATCTGATAGAGAAAAATTTAAAGGGTATCAAATAAATTATTTAACTGCTTAAAAAGAGTACGTCTAATATTACGAGGGAATTGTTTGTCACATGCTATTAATATTGTCATGGACACCAAAAGAGGTGTTTTCAAACATACCAATATGCTGAATCAAAAAGAAATAATAAAAAAAATTATTGTATTCTCTACTCCAAGTCAAATTTTAAATCTTATAAAACATTTATAATGTCACGTACCAACTTCTTAACACCAGAAAGAGAGAAATTTGTATCTAGAATTTATAATGAAATGTGTAATGATGCAATGGTTAATTCTTTCATCATAAAAAAAAGAAAAGATTATTTTTTTTTTATTAGTCAAAAAAAACAAGGAGCTTTCTGAAAATGAAAATGAATTCTGTAAAGGTTTATTTATAAGTTTGAATTAAGAAATGCAAAAGATAAAAGGATGAAACCAAAAGAATGTAACAATTGTAAATCAATAAGATACTCTGATAGATTCTGTGAAGGTTGCATAAGTTTACAACTACAGAATCTTTTTACCACTTGGACATCTGGAAATAACATAGTTGATGATTTTATTCAACAATGTCAAATGAAATCATTTTTGCCAGAACATATTTTAGGATGGGTACCTTATGAGCAACTTTATCATATAACAAAGTTAACTGAAGGTGGATTCAGTTCAATTTATACTGCTACATGGATAAGAGGAAGAATAATTGATTATGATGAAAATAAAAAGGAATTTAGTTATTCTGGAGAGCAAGAAGTAGCATTGAAAAGTTTAAATGATTCAAGTAATTTAAAAAAAGGCTTTTTTGATGAGATTGGTAATTGTCATTTAAAACAATACTGCATTATACAATACTAATTTATTTTATTTATTTTCAGGCAATTAATTATTTTAAAATTAAATCAGGGATGATTGTTTCTTACTATGGTATAACTAAATTCCCAAATAATGGAAACCATGCAATTGTTTTAAATTATTTATCAGAAGGAAATTTAAGGAATTATTTACAAAAAAAACCATTTAAATTTAACATTAAAAGACAGAATTACAATCTTTTATTATTTATGTAATGCATTACTTGTTATACATGAGAAAGATTTAATCCATTGTGATTTACATAGTGGTAATCTATTAATAGATAGAGGTAATTGTCATATTACAGATTTAGGATTATGTGGACCAGTTGATGAAAAATCATCAAATAAAGTCTATGTGATTGTATTGTATATTGCACCTGAGCTACTTAGAGGCAAAAAGAACACAAAAGAATCTGATATTTATAGTGTTGGGATGTTAATATGGGAAATATTTGCAGGTCATCCACCATTTGACAATAGAGCTCATAACCATTGTTTAATTTTTAATATATGTGATTAGTAACCATCAAGACTGTAATTTGAGAAAAACAACCTCATGCCATTAATTTACAACTACAAATAATAGTATCAGATTACATTGCACACAATATAACATGAAATAATAAATATATTGTATTGTATAACTAAATGAATAAATATAATAATAAATAAAATAAAAATTACATGAAATAATTTTAAATATTTAAAAATCCTAAATCTTGATATTTTTTTAATAATGCATAATCATTATAATTATGAAATTTCATTGTTACAGGTTTGGATCCTTTCCAATTTTTCATTAGAATAGCTAATGAATGGTCACCAATATTAGAAAAAACTTCATGCATAAAAATTATTGAACCTAATTTTTTTGGTAGTGTTTGATTTAATACTGTTATTATTTTATCTCCAGAACAAAGATCAGTATTATCAAAATTAATCCCTTTTAACTTTGTGCAACTATTTAGTAATTCCATTAATTCCTGGTCTAATTCATTATCATAAAATATAGATAAATCTTCTAAATTTTTACAATGTTGTGCAATTGATTTAAACAGTCTCCTTGCAACTCTGATATTTTTATTGTTACAAAATCTATTACTATTAACATACAGATGTTTAAGAGTTCCTCCATTGATATTAATAAAATTACACAAGGCTGGCACAGATGATTGATATGTATTATGTAATCCCACAGATTCAATATATGGCAGTGAAGTATTTTTCAAATTTTTTAGTCCATTATCAATGGTTGTTAATGATAAAGTCTTTAAATTTTTAAATGATGTTATTAATGAATTGTCTGAGTTTTTTCTTTTACTAGTAGATTCATAAAAGGTTATTGATTGTGAATGTGTTAATATTGCTTCTTTCAATTCAACTGGTATAATATTTCCACCTGATAAAATTCCACATGCTTCAATTACTAAATATTTAATTTGCTTTTGTGCCTTAATTAGCTGTGCTAAACTATGAGCATCTTTATTTTTATTATTACCATAAGATATTTTTAATGATTGAATATTTTTACAAATCTTTGTTAATTCATCAAACAACTCACCACTGTAAACAATATTATTACATTGTAATTCATAAAGATCCTGAAAGATATTATCAAATCTATGATGATTAATTAACAAATTAT